GTTCTACACATGTTGTGAAAATTTCAGACCAAGCTCATTCAAGGTCAGGTCACCAGGTCACTTAAAGTGACCACACCTCATAAAGTTTCCATGTCTGCCATAGCTACACCGAGTGACCGATCGCTTTGAAACTTTCAGAAGTTGCTAACAGCAATAGTGTGTACCTACAAAATGTACCTCATAGAATTTTGATATCGATGACCTAAGGTCAGGTCAATTTTGCGACATCCTCAAGCCATCATAAGTCATGGGAGAAAACTGAAATGCGCCTCTTTTGGACGAAAGCCATTATAAACACTCCCAAACACTGAATTACAAGTAACTTAGACACACTGAACATGAAAATGGTGTCCGTGACCCCTGTTATGCCCCTCAGGTCATCTCAGCTCACGAATGGTGTCTAACAGTTCTTCGCGAATAACTTTTGATAGAGACATGCTAGAGCGATGAAAACACCTTAGATGTGGTCATCTCGACGATACAGATCGATTGATATGCAACATGACCCTTTCCGGTCAGGTCACCTTGACCTGAAGTAAAATTTTCAAGTTGACATTTCAATGTCAAATTCATTCGATGCGTCTTATAGACGCATCGAATGAATGCGACGCATCGAATATAGAGTTCATTCGATGCGTCTTATAGACGAGAGGAACACGATGCCGGTAAAACTAAGCTCGTGCATGGCTTGAGTCAGAAAAACTGCAGAAAAACTGTTCCGAAAAAAAACGGCTGTTTTGGCAGTTTTTGCACCCTGCAGGCCAAACTGCTGATGTAAGGTCAAATCTGAGAGATCAGAATTATTCAGAAAGGTCGTTGCTAGGGCTATCGAATGCGCTTTTCCACGGCGCTGTAGCTCTATTGGTTACCGAGTTATGCGTTGGCTTCTTGGACATTGCTGACAATACATTCGACCTGAAAATCGGCGAAATTTTGCCTTCAATGACCTCTGGTGACCTGACCAAAAAATTGACCTAAGTGATTTCGTCATTATTTTTGGCGCTCTTTCGAACGTCGCCTTTCACGTCTCGCTACGTGGCCCCGGGGTGTTCAAACACCCCCCCCCCCACAGGGCGTGGAAATCCAGGACCCCCAGCGTGGCGCAGGTTAATAGCTGGCGTGAGTTTCTTGAGCCTCGTGACAATCGAATTAGGGCCAGAGCCCCATACACCCATGGGGCCCATTGGCTGTCGGGGGGAGGGGGACAAATGAATGATATGATGGCCCCCTGATTTACCTTTGGAGGGGGAACGGCATGTCCCTGATTCCTCCCCCCTCTGCGACCGCCACTGCACTGAAAGTGGAAGGGGCAGGGGCAGATACAGACATGGCTGGCCCCTAGCCCGTTTGAACCGAGGCAGGGGGGGGGGGGGGCATTGTCACCCTGGACCCAAGCTACTGCGCCCTTGACGAACTATACCGACCCCAAGCAGATCCAGTCAAGCGTTGGTCGTTTGTATACGCATTCTCTTGCACCGTGCCAGTATTGTCTTATACCTTTTCAGTGTTCGCTGCCCTGCCTCGTATTCAACAAAATGCTGCCACCAGGATTTACAGTTTTGTCGCTGATATGGTTTCATTCATTGAGTGAAGGAAATTGCGGTCAATAACGTTGTAGAAACAAAAGGGAATCTTCATTAACGGGCAAGCTGAACAGTCGCCAAGTTGTGGTGTTTAGGGTACCGGGTGGTAGGTACAGACAGACACCAAAGTCAGCAAAAAGTGGGGGGGCCAGTTAACATTGCTGGCCCCCCCACCTCCGAAAGTGGGGGGGGCCATGGCCCCCCCGGCCCCCCCCCCTGTTCCTACGCCTATGCGTTTTTCTATTGAAAAACAAATCTGAGTTCCCTGACAATTTGGCAAAATATACACCGAGATCAGTTGAGATCATGATTGATGGATCAATCTGATGCAAAAGACCGCAATTGTTGATCGGTCGAGTGGCTGCCGAAATATAAAGTTGTGAAAAGCATCACGGGGTGGGGTCGGGCGGCTCTCACTGATATTTCCCGACTAAGCAAATGGGCTCGCTGGCTCGCTCGTTAATTAGGCACTTGAATCAGCGAATGTGTTCTTGAGCTGACTGATCTACCTAGATAGGTTGGTGGATCCTAAGGTTGGGCTCGCACCTACGCCTCTCATTTCTTAAACGACACAATTAATGATCCTGACCCACATAGTCCTTACTCCTTACGTAAATGTGGCAGCACTGTAGGGATCATCTATTATGTATTTCAGACCCTGTGGAACAGTCCTTTTCGGCTATTTCTCGTTGTATATGCGTTTGATCTTAACCAAATTTTGGCATTGCTAGTTTGAGAGCCCTACCTAATTTTTATCAATATGGTCTATTAACAAAAATTAACTAATTAAGGCACTTGTCATTGACTGATAATGTTAAGGTCGTCAGAGCCCTGCTTAGAGGCTGGCACAGGCTGGGCGCTGTCTCCCCTCTGATTGGTCGTCACTGCGGCTTGGCTCCGCCCACTTGCGGTCCAGCCTCGGGTCATGTCGGCGGCAGTCGCAGTTTGGCCGGCCGGCGTGCGGGCCGCGCGCGCAGCGCAGCGCAGCGGAGTGGAGCACTTGCTTGAACGTCATGAACTTGTATTATTAAGGTGTTCTACGACAAATAAGGACGGAGGGAGAAAGAAAAAGGAAGATGAGACAAAGTGACAATCAGACTAACGGTAGACGGTGGCTAGTGGACAGCAAACAATGTGCATAAACGCTAGGGCAGAGAAAGGAGACCCGAGGCAAAAACGGTAGACGAAAGACATCTTTCTCTGTTTTAATGTTTTTTCAGCCCTAAGATCTATCAACGATATCCTCAAAGCATTGCGGAACTCTTATGGAAAATTGAATATTTTTACACCAAAAAATAACAATTTTATTTAAAAAAAACGAAATGCAAGTACATATGTGTATACTGTATATCCTCAAATAAGACCGTTGAATGTCACATTCCATAGCAAATACGTATCTAAAGACAATCCAGTAGATTCTGTTTCGTTGCTCCTTAAATGCACCATAGCCTGTAGGAAAACAGGTCAGCGGAGAAGCTCGTTGTAAATTATTGAAAGTAAGATTCTTTTAATTTTGTAGGCAATAACATTATGGAGCTTACTCTGTAGTTGAAAGGAGTGCTTATCACTTTATACATACACCGATCTGCATTGCATTGCATTCTTCATCCTCGTTCTCTCCGCGCGAGATACGACACATTCACGCAAGGACACCTGCGTTAGCGTGCGTCTTGTTCCAGTCCGCCAGAGCTCCGCGCCGCCCTGACCCCGAGAGGCGAATGACCGGTCTCGGTGTCGCGGCGCAGTGGGCGGAGCTTAGCCGCGGCGCAACAGCTGACGCTGCTACGCCATGCTAGCCTCTACCACGGCGCAGAGTTTTCCTGTCATTTTTTACCATTACAAGTCAATGACAAGTGCCTTTCATCTTGACAATTTGTTAAAAGACCATATTAGTAAAAATTAGGTAGGCCCTTGAAACTCATTGTGTCAAAGTTTGGTTGAAAGCAAGCGTATAGGTAACGAGAAAGAGCCAAAAAGGACTGTTCCAGGGGGTCTGAAATGCATAGTATGCGATTTGTCATTTCATGTTGTCATTTTCATTTATATTGTCACCGCTTTATTAATCAATCTGTTGCCTGTTGTCAATTGCGCGTCAAGTTTGTTTGTTATTTGTAAACCGGCCTGCCGCTGGCCTCAGCCTTCCTAGTAACCGCTGTGCCATACGCTATAGAACGTGTCGTGCAAAGGTCACGGCGGCACCCCTGAGGCGGCCGCTGCCCGTACGTTTAGGAGCCCTTTGTCGTGACGTCATGACTGTGAACAAAGGTCGCGGTAGGGGCTCTCCCGGCAGCCGGACGGTGACTCATACGTTAAGCTTGTCTCTCGCCGCGCCTGCGGGCATATTGGTAGTACTAGGGACGGCCAGCATGTGACCGCGGTTTTCGGAACGACATTGTCAATTCGTTTCTCGACTCTGCTGTTCGCTACAAGACAAATACACATAGAAAACGGCTCGGGCATTTGGAGAAGAGCGGCTACTCTGAGGCGAGGGAAGAACACGGAGATTCACACAAACGACCTGACTAGGTTGCACCGGCCACAGTCGACCGAGGTGGGCTTCCGCGCCCTTAAAGACGCCTCTGACTGGCCATTGCGCTGACACCCTGGTCGGACCACGGTCATTGATCGGACCCTGCCACTGGTTCGTGCTCAGGCTGCCTTAGCGGGTAGACCTGCTCGACCAGACGCCCCACTGGTGGGTGAGTGCTCGGTTCCGACTTTCACCGCCGGTCCAACAGCGTTCTGCTGGTTCCCGCCGATCCGGTTACGACACCGCAAGTGCCGTACCGACTCGGGCGTCCAAGGTGGGCGTAACGGTTACCACACCAGTTCGCGACCCCCAGGCTCTGTCAGCCGTCGTACGGCTCTCGGACGGACACTCTAATAGATCAGCCACAGATCAATAGATTGTCACAGACCGTCCGTCCAGCCACGCGCTACCCACAGCGCAGTACGACAGCACCTTGGGCAGCACAAATGACGGCGTTCCGCTCACCATTTACTTTGGCGGCGTACCGTCATGCATGATAAATTACGGAGGAATGGCCAGAATAGCCCGTTTGCGCTTTGTTTTAAAGTTACCCCAGTTACGACCGCCACAACGGGTACATCCACATTTCAACCCATGCCGACACTGCTGTCCAAACTGGAATAATACATGTGGCTATAACACATGACTATGGGGCAAGCTTCTACAACCGGGCCCCGAGGGCTAGCTAGCATTGCCGGAAAATGACTAAGGTTTTGCATGGTGAAAAGGTGCCGACTGCTGTAACATGTAGGGAAATAGTTTGCAGATAATATACCAAATTACAATTTGCTGGCATTTGTCCCACAAGTACGTAAGACCCTCAAATAACTGACGAGAAACAGGTTCGTGTCTCTTTGCGAGTTAACCTCCCCCACTCTCCAGACGTGATGGCGTTCCGGCTCTATCTTTCAGGCGGCGCTGCTCTGCCTGTCCTGGCAGTTCTCCTGTCGGCAGGCATCTGGTGGAGCTCCGGCGAGCCCCTGCCGCGCCCGTTCAACCTCACCACCCGCTGGCAGAGCCGGCTCCAGTTCTGGCAGTTCGCAGCGGTGACCTGGGCCTCGTTTCATAAAAGGAATTACTTACGGCGTTCCGTCAATTATGCCAGATTTGGCGTATTTGATGCCAATTCGGTTTCATAAAGCCGGAGACCGGAGTAATTCACGACATCGAAAGTACGGAGCTTCATTTACGGCAAATGCTCGATTCCGGACCAATTGATGCCATTTGGGTTTCATAAAACGACGTAATTAACGCCAAATATTTTATCAAGCTCTTGATATCAGTGGTGTAAACTACGCACAAAAATGTTGCGTGATTTTGAATTAATGTGAAGATTCGAAGCTAATTTTTAATATATTTTATAATGTTGAGCCCGGTGAGGAAGAAAGAACAGCCAAAATGAGAAAAAGAAACTGCAAATCTTCTGTACCAGTCGCTTTTTGTGGCCACTATCGGAATTTTGTTTATTCGCCGCGCCGCGCCACTTTCGTAGTTAGGCACACTTCTGCTTAGCTGGCTTTCTGCTGTTTTTAATATATTGTTTTAATAAAGGATGGTCGTCAATATCAATTTTGTTTTTTTCATACATAATTTTTAAGATTTAAATTCAACATAATTGTTTTATAAATTCTCGTAAAAAATAAGTGTTGACATGAAATTGTAATTTGTAGGACGCTTGATAAATTACGGTAACTACGCAAATGTGCTTAGTTACGGAGGTGTAAACAATTCCAGTTGTGGCTTTGTGAAACGGATTTATTTGCGCTCCGTAGTTTGAAAGGGTGTGAATTACGGAAAGGTGTAAGTTACGGCAGAGTTTTATGAAACGAGGCCCTGGTCGCCGCCCGATGACGCCGTGTTCGATCAACACCCAGCTCCGGACGGCTGCTTCTGTAGAAACCTGTGCATCAGCGACGCCCGGTGCGTGGCCACCGACCTGGGCCTCGTTTCATAAAACTCTGCCGTAACTTACACCTTTCCGTATTTCACACCCTTTCAAACTACGGAGCGTAAATTAAGCCGTTTCACAAAGCCAAAACTGGAATTGTTTACACCTCCGTAACTAAGCACATTTGCGTAGTTACCGTAATTTATCAAGTGTCCTACAAATTACAATTTCATGTCAATACTTATTTGTTACGAGAAATTATAAAACATTTATGTTAAACTTAAATCTTAAAAATTATTTATGAAAAAAACAAAATTGATATTGATGACCATCCTTTATTAAATCAATATATTGAAAACAGCAGAAAGCCAGCTAAGCAGAAGTGCCTAACTACGAAAGTGGCGCGGCGCGGCGAATAAACAAAATTCCGATAGTGGCCACAAAAAGCGACTGGTACAGAAGATTTGCAGTTTCTTTTTCTCATTTTGGCTGTTCTTTCTTCCTCACCGGGCGCAACATTATAAAATATATTAAAAATTAGTTTCGAATCTTCACATTAATTCAAATTCACGCAACATTTTTGTGCGTAGTTTACACCACTGATATCAAGAGCTTGATAAAATATTTGGCGTTAATTACGTCGTTTTATGAAACCCAAATGGCATCAATTGGTCCGGAATCGAGCATTTGCCGTAAATGAAGCTCCGTAATTTCGATGGCGTGAATTACTCCGGTCTCCGGCTTTATGAAACCGAATTGGCATCAAATACGCCAAATCTGGCATAATTGACGGAACGCCGTAAGTAATTCCTTTTATGAAACGAGGCCCTGGTGGTGACCTCGGAGGGCCTCTCCTGTCGGCTGGCTGCGCGCCGCGGCGGCAGTCTCAACACCACCTCGGCCGTCGCCGCCTTCGTCCGGGTGGGCCGCGCCGACCTCGGGGAGCGCTGCCTCATCGATGCGGAGTGCTGGGAGAGCCTGGAGGGCGCCGGGTGCGTGGACGGCGTGTGCGCGTGCCCGGCGCCGGCGCTGACGGCGCGCGGTGACTGCGTCATCAGCAACTGCTCCGAGCTGACGGCGCTGGGCGTCACCACCAGCGGCCAGCACTGGATGCGGCTGGCCACCGGCGCCGCGCTCACTGCCCTCTACTGCGACATGGAGACCGACGGGGGCGGCTGGACCGTGTTCCAGCGGCGCCAGGACGACACCGAGCAGGTCGACTTTTACAGAAACTGGCAGGACTACCGCGATGGCTTCGGCAACGTCTCCGGCCAGCTCTGGCTGGGCAACGAGCTGATCCACCATCTGACGGCGCGCGGGCCGCACCAGCTGCGCATCGACATGGAAGACTTTGAGGGCGACCGACGCTTCGCGCAATACGCCAGCTTCTCGCTGGTAGACGAGGCGGACAACTACCGACTGTCGGTGAGCGGCTTCACAGGGAACGTGAATGACTCGTTCGCTTATTATCACAGCGGCTTCGAGTTCTCCACCAAAGACAGAGACAACGACAGGACCGGCAAGGAGTGGTGTGCCAAGTCGTACCAGGGTGCCTGGTGGTATAATGCCTGTCACCGGTCCAATCTGAACGGGCTATACCTGAGACGCCACACCAAAGAATTTGCCACCAGCGTCTGTTGGAAGGCCTGGAGAGGGTTTTACTACTCACTAAAATTCACCGAAATGAAAATCCGGCCCAGTCCCTAAAATACTACTGACGCTAGCAAAACAATTTCGGTTACGCTCAAGTGCGTATCACAATATCTGAAATTGCTGGTGGTCACTTGCAGAGGAAAACGAGGATGGCCGCTTGATAACGGTCATATGTCCTGGGTTGAAACATTTTCCCGTCACTACAGTGATGCTGAATAATCGATCACAATCCAACGTTTACTATTGTAGTACTAGTGTCGTATGAACTGACGCTGGGCCGACGCGGCCGGCGTCGAGCCGGCCGCATGGGGAGGCCGGCGGCCGACCTGCCCTGCGGCGGTCACGTGGGCAAGGTGACGCCGACTGGCCGTGGCCCGGCCGGGGGAGAGCTGGTAAAGCGCCGGTCAGCGACGGACGCTCTCGCGTGGTCGAAATGTGCAACTGCATTATCATTAGTTAAGTCTTTATCCTGTGTTTATGTGAACAATATATAGCAACTATGTAATTCACTTTATGCCAATTTAATGCAGTCTGGTGTGCCTTGCGCAATTTTTAGATATCTTCGTGCATTTGGAATTTGGATCACCGTGTTGAGCACCAGTGGTGTTTTACTGAGATTCTCGTTTAGGCGACGCGTTCTCACCCGCCTGGGTCGGCACCCACAAGGATGTTCGATAGTTCGATACCTATACCCTGCCCACAAGCAATGTCCTTCAACCCAAGTGTCGTCGGTTATCTTTATACTGCGTGTAGAAGTCAGCGAATTTCTTGTGACGCTTTGCCTTTGCCTTTCCAGCTCACAATTTATGTTTAATCGTTGTAGGAACTGTCATCTGTACCATGCTTTATTTATGAGAACTTGCAGCATTCATAAGCGACTGGATAATTAATGACTCTCTGTACGGCAAGAACGCTTACCGGTAGTGCTGCAACTTGCGACGCTGGCTAGATAACTAAAAATGGTAACACTTGCAAGTGATACATGTCTGCACCATCTGATGACAATACAATTCTCTTTAATTAACATTTTATTGTTTTGAAGCGCTGGGTAGACTGATGCACATAACAGGTATCGGACCGGACAACAGCATCACCATTGTGACAGTAGTTGATAATGTGACTGAATGGAGAGGAAGGAAACTGCCGAGACCACGCCGCCATCACAGGCAGAATCATTGCGGGCGAATGAGTCATAAACGGAGCAGATTGATACCCCACCTAATACACATCATAGATTGAGATAAGCCTGATGTAGTTACTTTAAGAGTGTACCAATTACCAAACCATCTAAATGGAAATATCTGAAGTCGATACAAACTATATCTATGTCTGGGGGAAAAAAAGAGAGCGTCACGCAGCTTGAACAATTACGCTACACTGACACAAGACACTCTGCTTGTGTCCTTAGCATGGGCTACGCGAAGCATGCGTCTCCGAGGGTTATTAACTGCAACGAAACGAACTAAGCACCGGTAGTCAGAAGGCGGTAGCCACACACAACCGCGATGCGCCGTGCTCTCTTGTTCTTTGTTCAGTCGAGTAAGCTGCGGTGACGGTTGAGCCAAAGACGACGCGATGAATGCTGACTGAGGCCGAGAGTACCATTTTCCCAGTGGTTCTGTAAACAAAGAAAAAATAAATGTAAATCTCGCGGCGATTTGCACACGGCATAAAAACTTCGCATATATGCCAGTGCAACTCCCGAACAGTCACGTTGGTACAAAAGAGGTACATTTCTGATACAGTTGTCACGCAATCGTGCTGGCAATACGACATATGACCACCGGTGCCGGTTGAACCATAGTGCCGGAAAACTGACCTCTCCGCCATCGAAGTCTGCAGGGGATGCCTGTTGTCAGAGGGCGCCCACACCGCCGTCCGGTGGAGTCCCACGTGCAGAAGATGACCGCACCTCCAGCGAGCTCCGCGGACCCGGCACGCTCTCCCGTTGCACCGCATGAAACGTGGAAGGGGAGTCAGCCGCAGTCGCACCTGTCGCTAGCCAAACACAATGACTACACAATGAACTAATCCAGATACAGTTGACATCTGAACACCCGCAATCATCGTTTTAAGAAACTTATCATGACAAATAGGTACATGCACAAAGCTGTTTTCTTCGACAGGATTAGAAACGTGGTAACTGTATGTTTGTCCATTTTTAATTTATAGCTGTCATCATATCATTAAAGATGTAATGTAACGTGAATTATTCCGAAAGTGTGTCGGTTATTATTAATAGGTTATTATAAAAGCAAGCAAAAAAAAAAGATAAAAAACAGAATGCTTGCGACGCCAGGTTGCTGTACCCCCGATAATCAACCTGAACTCCATGCATCGCCCATCAAGCTGTGACAGCACGCGACAGACACGCAGAGAAAAGGGATACGGAGCCGACGCCCTAATTGTTTACACAAGTGCCACGCTGGAGTCAGCTGTTCGCTGCGAACTAAACTCGTGTCAAATATTTCCCTCGGGCCGACGCTATAGGTGCGAAGAGAGGTCGATACTACGCCTCCGCTTTACCGCGTGCACATAAGGCCAACTGGTGCTAAAGGACCCATTAGTGTCGCCAAACGCCCGTTGCAGGGAAAATGATAACGGTGCAAACGGCGCTGATGGTCATATACCAGCTATACAAGTACCCACCACCCTGTGGTTAAACGTCGGTACAGTGATTACGAGACAGCGATAGTCTTCGCGATAGACCTTGCAAGAATTACATAATATCCTTCAAGCTACATAGAAACGGATCACAATAGCAACAACCGAGCCTCCATCCGGCCGAGGAACCGGAGCGTTGCTGCCGGTGGTCCCGGTAACTGTACACACAGACCCCCCCCCCAAATCACACTTTTGAACTCCTCCACCCCGGCTCAGAGACATAGTTTTTCAGACTCCTTTATGGGAAGAGATCTTAAAGAGTAAAGACAAAATTCAAACACAACTGCGCCTGCGAGCCGTTGACGGTGACAGTAAAGAACAAGCAGCAGGGAAGATCTCTCTTCATATCTCAGCCACGGGCGCGGGGCGACCACGCAAAATCACGGTTCCGGAATCCTGGTCGTATCCCGAACTGAGGGCAACCCGTCACGCGAGTGAACAACAGCTCAAAATGATGCATCTGAAACATTTTGACATTCCAGACCCCTAGACGGGGAATCCGAGCTCCTCCTAGGAGCCAACGTAATCGAAGCCATCCTACAGCACGACGTGCACAACGTGAGAGTGGGACAGTGCGGCCACCCGATAGCCGTTCGAGCCACGTTCGGCTGGGCGCTGACCCAACTGGCGCCAGAAGCCACGCGTGAGGCGACGTTCGTCAGAAAGGAAGGCGTCTCTCCTGACGCTGAGCTGGACACGACGTTCAGAGGGTGGTGGACCACCCTCATTCGGCAATTGTAAATGGAATACAATGGGCCATACACATTGAGCACGGTGTAAAATCCTTGGCGTGTCTCTACCCGACGTCTGCGTGCAGAAATAGTGGTGGTTGCTTGGGTCAATTCAGTTCATGAACGATTCAATTCACAAAGCACGTTCCACCACTGGGTAACAATTCATCATTATCAATGCAAAGTGAATGGCTGTGAGTTTTGTGAAGTCGTTTGGGTGAAAATGTATGAATGTGTATTGTGTATGTACGCTCAACATCCGCCCATGGATAACTATCCGCCCGTACACCAAGCAAAGGTCACCAAGTTCGACCCGCCACTAGGGCAGCGGTACCCCGTCCGTTCACGGCCACCACCCTATTCGTCGTCAACATGAGAATGGGCTTCAGCCGCATGGACAGTGATCAATACACTCTGTCAGCACGTGTAAATCATAATCATAATCGAAAGTCTAGCGAGACTGACCTTCCAGCAAACCAGGGACCTCAGCCTCTCGGTCGCGCAGTTCACCGATGAGCCATAGGTGCAAGTGTGGAGCGCCATCCTTCTGTACCGAGTCCAAAATACTCAGGAAGCGGAACAGTTAACTCCCTCCGATCCCAGCCTGCGTCTCGCCTCCTAATCGCTCACCCACTTGCGACCACTGGCACAAATCGTGTACTCATTCGGTCGGTTCCAATGCCGAGCCAAAGGCATCATGTACGTCTGTCCGGTGTAAATCATTTGTCCCCCGCAGCGGCACTGGTCCGTTCCGGCCAGTAAAAGGGGAGTTGCGCCCTCTCGGGTCTCAGCTATGATCCTCTTCTTGCATCCAACATCTTCCAAGAACCCCTATCCCTACTCCCTGCCCCCTCCCCTCTCACCACAATCCTGTTTTATCAAGGCTTGGGCGAGCCGACCCGTCTCCATAGGATGCAGGGAACCCTGGTGGCTGAGCCCCCCGTCGCGCGGGTCAGTCGTGGCGCGGAGGCAACACTCCTCTTTGGCCCGAATTTCTGGGAGAGATGGCGCGCCACATCGAGAAGCTCCTTTTGACTGTCGCACGGAGTGGTGGCTGGGCTCCCTCGCTGGCGTGCTGACGTGTACACCAGCTTGCCGGTGACGTGGTGCCTTGCCGCCGCCTCTGGTGGCGTCCTGGTTTTATGGCGTCAAGGGAGGAGGTGTCGTCCAACCTTAGGGGGTGGTGTGATGCAGGTCAAAAGAAAAAAGTTGCTCTCCTCTTTTGGCAACTTCGTTCATTTCAAGTTTGTGTCATATTTACTTTGTCTGTTCTCAGACGATTCCCGAACAGCCATACCGCTGAACATATATTGGCGTCATTCGAGGAGGTCATCGACGAGTATGGACTGGCGGGCAAGGTGCTCGTGCTGGTGACCGATAGTGCAAGCAACATGCTCAAGGTTTTCCGGGGAGGTTTTGCGCTGGCCCCGCAGCCTGGCAAGTCTGCAGATGCTGCCGGAAGCACTGAGGAGGCAGCTGACTCTGAGGATGACACTGTAAGTAAAGTAAATCAAATTTGGTACCTAAAACGAGTAAGAAAATCGTTTCGGCGCCAATGAAAGCCACAATGCTACACGAACACGGAAAGATAAAAAAGCGACACGAAAATAACCGCATCTGAAAAGACGTAAAACAAGGAAAGGGCACAATCCACCCATAAGAAAGCAGTTCGTATTGCATAGCGCCCAACTTCTTTTGGCGCACTGAGCGACGCATTCGAGCCTTTACCGCCGCCATTTGCAGCGAGGTGGCGACGGGTGTCACGCGGGGACCATTTCGGGCCCCGCCGCTGCCGAACTTCGGCGTGAATCCGCCGAGTGCGCGGATAAACCACAATGGCACAATTAATCCAGAAGATTGCGCGGTGGAATACACGGATCTCGACGAGCTGGCGGGTCTCATTTTTGCAAACGGCGGATCTGGGACACAGTTGTTCAAGGCGGATATCAAAGCCGCATTTAAGCTTATACCCGTTCGGCCCAATCCATGGCACGCCCTCGGCTTCTGCTAGACTGCTGGTCGGGCCGGCGTTGGTACCAAGTAGCGCTTCCGTTTCGCTGCCGCTCCTCCTCACATATATTCAAAGATTTTGCGACGCTACTACGAGACACTCTGCGGGCCGCCACAATAACCCAGCAGTGCTCAACTATTTGGACGATTTCTTCGGGGTCGAACCCCCCCCCCTGCTGCCATGGCCCCCACATACCTAAGTTGTGCGAGCACCTGTGCGAGACCGTGGGTGTGCCCTTGCAGCCGGGGAAGTGCACGCCCCCGACCACTAGCATCGAGATACTGGGGATCATCGTGAACGCTGCAACGATGACTTATGCGCTGCCGAGGTCGAAGCTCCGGCGGCTCACATAGGCCGTCTCACTGCTATTGTTGTGTTGCATTAATGTAAGTAATGCAGCACAATGTGTTGTCCTAGTTAAACCTGTGTTCGGTGCATTCTGTATTCGGTTATGTTGCCGCGCCGCAATCCGCCAGGTCTAATTCCGCCGCTCTAAACCGGTCACGTGACCGGCCGTGGTCGACCTCGGGTCGCGCGCCGCGGCGGCTGGGCAGTCGTGTGCGGGGAGCGCGGCCGGGCGGCTCGCTCTGGGCCTCGGGTACCGAGTCCAGTACGACCGCGGACACTTTGCCTCTGAGCGCCGAGCTGAGTGCCTGCCGCGTGGCTCGTACCACCCAGCCTCGGGCGACCGAGCTGAGTGGCTCTCGCGGGGCTTGCGCCGCTCTGCCTCGGTGACCGAGCGGAGTGTTTGTCTCCACCCGCGCTGCACTGCCTCGGGGCGCCCAGCGGACTAGTGAGTATTGTACTGGACAACGTGTGACAGCTAAGTATTTGTTTCGCATTTATATTTGTTCCGCAGTTGTTATTCCCGGGGTCGCAATACACCTCATTACGAGCGAGCGAGCGCAGCGAGCGAAGTGAGTCTTTTCAATATAACGGAAAAATCTCAGTATGAGCGGCCCGGCCCGGCCCAGCCCGGCCTGTAACGCTTTTGAGAGGCTTATATCTCAGCAACCGCTGGACCGATTGGCCTGCGGTCTTTTTTGTTGGGTAGCCCCATCCCTTCTACCCCGTAATTGACTACTTTTGCTACATCTCAATGACCGTCGTGGCACGTGCCACGTGAAAAGTCAAGGG